CGATTTGGGCACGTGAGTGCTGAAAACGCAGACAGTGGGCAGGTGAGCACCGGAGTGGGTGCCAGAAAATAGGAATGGGTTCCTGCTTGGCAGGAAAATTGGAGGGAGTGCTAGGATTTGAGGTGAGGGAAACTCGGAACCGAGACTTGGGGGCGGGGCACGGAGCAAGAAACAGAGGAATCTTATACAAAGGTGGCCAGAAAGAGAGACAGATTCATGATGGGAGCTCAAAAGGAAATGGGGGTGACTTGGAAGAAATATGAAGAAGTGAGTACACACAGCGAGCATAGGTATTCAGCAAGGGTGGGATGAAAAGCAGGGGCCAGTGGGTAAGAGGCATGAGACCTGCATGGAGGGATATAGAGAGATATGAGACTGGGGCTACAAATGGGGAATGTGAAGGTGGGGGGGGGGGCATCTAAGATAACAACGGAGCCAGGAAATATAGAGAGAACCAGCTGCCTCTTGCTTGGCGCTCAACCGCCACAACTTCCACAGCCATCTCTTTTCTAACTCTGTTGTGTAACCAAACAAGCCTGGAAAGAGGGTAATGCAGGCAGACATCCAAGCATGTTTGATATAGAATACTGCTACTGGATGCACGAATATCGTGCGCAGTGACTTCCCAATGCAGAGAAAAATAACTTTAATATTGCATAGAATGTTTCTTTCTAGATTCTCCCCTCTTCTTACAGGTATGAAATCCCCTCACAAAAAAGCAGCTGCAAGAGAGCAAGCGAGAGAAGCTGTTGATCACCATGTTGGCTCTTCAACCATCAAGAAGAAAAAAGCTGCTCAGAAGAGGCAGAGGAGCAGACCTTCATCCCGGTCTCGAAGGAACATCGTGGGCTGCAGAATTTCTCACGGGTGGAAGGAAGGGGATGAGCCCATCACCCAGTGGAAGGGAACTGTTCTGGATCAGGTGCCTATAAACCCTTCTCTCTATCTGGTGAAATACGATGGAATTGACTGTGTCTATGGACTGGAACTTCACAGAGATGAAAGGATTTTAAAGCTTAAAATCCTTCCTGATAAGGTGTCCTTTTCTCGAGTCAGCGATGTGCGCCTTGCTAATACCATAATTGGCAAAGCAGTGGAACACATGTTTGAGGGGGAGCATGGCTCTAAGGATGAATGGAGGGGGATGGTCCTGGCCCAAGCGCCTATCATGAACGCCTGGTTTTACATTACCTATGAGAAAGATCCAGTCCTGTACATGTACCAGCTTCTTGATGATTATAAAGAGGGCGACCTCCGTATCATGCCAGAGTCCAGTGCATCTCCTCCAGCAGACAGGGAGCCAGAAGGCGTTGTAGATGGCCTGATAGGTAAACATGTGGAATATACCAAAGAAGATGGCTCCAAGAGGACAGGCAAGGTCATTCACCAAGTTAAAGCCAAGCCCTCTGTGTACTTCATCAAGTTTGATGATGATTTCCATATCTATGTCTATGATTTAGTGAAAAAGAACTGTTAGGATGAAATTTGCATAGTGTGGGGAGGCAAATGCGTAATTTGTAGGCGTGCACAAAATGTTAATTTTTCAGTGTATTAGAAGCCTGAGGGTTTCTGATAACCCAGATTCTTTGCCAGCATCACTGTTTTGTTCTGAAAAATACCAATCTGTGGACATGACGTGCTATATGTAAAACTTTGTCTTGTGTAAGAGATGAGTATGTTTGATGGATGGAACATGAAGGAACAGCTGTCAATTTAACCTGTGAATAAAGTACCATTATTATTATAATCAGTCATCTGAAAGTTGAGTGTGAATTATCTGGTGTGGTCTGGGGACAGGGAGAGGAATTAGAGACAGGGTGGGGGTGTTTAGATGGAGGGACTGATTGGAAAAGGTGAGGAAGAAGAAAGGGAGGCTCCCTGGGGGAGGCATGGTGTTTAATGGAGAAACATAAAATTGGGAGGGGAGTGAATGATAACAGAAATGAGATCTTGGGTCTTAGAGGAAAGTACAATAAACTGAGTAAAGAGGAACACAAAGAAGTTTAGAAGAGTTCTGGGGTAAGTGCAAGAATGACCTGAGGAGAGGCTAAACAACTCATAAGGGGGGGAGGTAAATGGAGGGCACAGAGGAAGGATGGAATCCGGGAAGGGGTGTTTAGAGAAAGGATCATCAGCAGGGCCCAAGGGGGTTGTGAAGGCCTTAGAAGTTGAACATCTGGCTACATCCACATCAGCCACTTTGACTCTGTTCACAAAATAATAATCAGTTATTAAAGAAGGCAGATGTAGTGGAGGCCTCCTAGACAGGCATTTTGACCAGGGAAACTCAGACTATGAATCAAGGGCCAGCTTTCCACCTTTTCATTTCAGGAGTCTGTCATACCTGACAAGGGGAAGTCAGTTTTCAAACCCAGACACTGTAACACAGTGCTTCTGAGGCTCTGGCCTGTGGGCTGACTCCTCATCTTTCCAAGAGGACACAGCGCAGGACACACCCAGGACCTCAGGGTCCTGATTCATTTCCCATATTTTGGGTAAACAAGACTTCTGAAGAATGAGTTAATGAGGTTCACATTATCTAAGAGATGGTATCATGAGTTTTGAATATATTTTATCTGGAAAAGAAAGGAATCCTGCCCAACTGGTATGAGTCCTGTCACTGTTGACCCCCTCATTGGTATCTCTCACCATGCTCAAGATAGGCATCTGATAATTGAGCCTAATGTGTCTCCACAAAATGGACAGGACCAGGCTTTTTCCATTCTCCTGTCACACCTGCCTTTACACAGGTGGCTTCATTTAGTAAGCCAGAAGAAGGAGAGGCCACTCCCTCTAGAAGTCCCCATTGTAGAGAGACCTCTCCCACAAAGCCTGTGGCCCCTGACACCTTTTTTGGTACGTCCCAGCCAAACTGTGCCCCCTTAAACTCTTGAAAAGCAGTGATGGACGTCCATGCAGCTGTCGGTTTCCAGATGATACAGAAGTTCTGGGTAATAGGGCTGAATATTGTGACTGTGTAACTAATTCCTTCAGACGTATATTGTGGTGTGGATGGGTTGTAGTTGGTGAGTAGAAGAAACAGTCACTTCAATAAAGTCCCTTAGAACTATAGTGTCCAGAACACGGGTCTCTGTCCAGTTCCTTTTTATGTCTTTTACCCTGTCTTCCAGAAATCTGTCAAAATGCTTTCTCTGGTTTCTCAACCTCACTCTTAACTAAACTTCTACCCCAAAGAAAGAATGCTCTCGATTGTGTCTGTGCTGACTAGGCATACATAATAGAGTAAGCAAGGAACTTACTCTGGGGACTCAAAGGACAGTCTAGCAGACTGAGCAGGGGCTGGTCACCTGAAGAATTACACACACAAGGCAAGCTCACCTCAGCAGAACAGAGTTCAGTTTTCTTTCCTACCTGACATAATTTTGTCTAGCCAAGACCAGCAGATTACCCAGGGACCACTTTCACCTAGCTTCTTTGTTTTACCTGGCCTTTAAGTTTTATTGTTTCCTGTTTAAAAATATGAGTTTTAGTTTTTCTAAGAGATTACACAATGTGTATTCATTTCTGGTCTGCCCTGAAAATCAAATTAAACAGACACAAGCATTAGGACTCAACATTCCAATAAAGACACAAGTAACTGAGTGGGAGGAAGGGTTTATCCCACTTTAGGCTCAGAATGTTCCAGTTGTCCACTCCTCCAGTTGCCCTTTTCACTCTGGTAAAACACACATTTGTTGCCTGGAGGTATCTGCATTTGTAAATTTGAGACTAGACCCATGGAAATCTGCTGTCTCAGTTCATTTGTTTTATCTTCTTCCCACAAATATTTACTTTGGGTGGGCTGCGGCACTTGTCTAGACAGACACTGATGTAGTAATGAACAAATGAAGTACATAAAAAAAGAATAAAAAAGGCTCCTAACTCCTTGGGGCTTTCATTTTAGTGTGGAAGCCAGGCAATGGCCAAGCAAAGTACATAATAAAGCTTCATTGGTCATGTGCTAAGGAGGAAAGCAGGGAAATGAAATTCTAGAGAGGACGATCTTAGGGAGAGATGGCAGCCAGAGAAACCTACATGGAACACTGTCGTTTGAGTAAAAACAGGCAGGTAGCGTGAAAAGTGCCCTGTAGCAGCAGACAGGGAATTATGCATTCTGGATAGACTGATAGCAATTGCTCCTGGGCCAGAGAAGACCTGGAATGTTTGAGTAGAAGCAGGCAGGATAGCAGTGTAGCTGGTGCTGAGAGAGGAAATTAGAGCTGTGGGAGTTGAGTCTAAAGTAGTTACAGTGGCTGAGTAGTCAGAAAGTCTAGAGCCCTGCAACTTGTAATCCTTGTAATGGAATTTGGTTTTACCTTCGTGAAAGGGGGAGGCATTCAGAAAGTTAAAGCCCTAGAATACCATGGTTTGTGTTTATAATGTATTTTAACAAGATTATTTTGGCAATTTTAGAGAATGTTCTATAAAAACTTGAGAAGTAGAGCAGGGAAACAAAATATACAAATGGAATATAGCAAGTCACCTAGAAGCGCATTTACATAAAGGAATCCTCAGCCCAAAACCTGCCATTTCAAGTGATTAATGAAAATTATTCCGCTCAATAAGTGGTACTAGATTAATTTGTTATCTATATGACAAAGTAAAACACCTTTATACCTTATAAAATTAATTTTAAATGGATCCTATTAATACCCAAATAATAAAAAACATATATAAAACATTTAGAAGGCACTGTAAGAGAATGTTTAATTTTGACTATATAAGTAGGTACTAAAAGTTCCAAATGCACAAATTAAAAAGAAGGTGTATACCAGGTGTGGTGGTGCTGACCCTTAAATCCCAGCACTCAGGAGTCAGAGACAGAAGGATCTCTGTGAGGTTGAAGCCAGCCTGAGTGCATTCTAGTTACTGAAGAGCTACATAGTGAGACCCAGCCTCAAAACAAACAAACAAACAAAAAGGTGTGATGAATATAATTAAAATAAAACATAAAGCTTCTAATTACAAAAGGTATCACAAAGTAGGGCAAAACCAGATGTGGGTGCAAACCAAGACAGGCACAATTTAAGAAATAAGACAAATAAGCCACAGAAACTGGACAAAGGTCATGAGTAGGCAATTTGGAAAAGCACTAGACTGTACACACATACATTTCCTTAATAATTAAAATCCACTGTTTGTTTTACTACAGCATAAGGTCCTGAAAAATGCCTCCTACCAATGCATTCCACATACTTAAAAAAGAGTACTTGGAATATAAAGCATAGTTAATAAATGTTCATTGGTTGCATGAACCTCACTTAAGATCAAGAAAATGGAAATGAATTATGATCTCACACACTATTAGATCAGCAACATGGTAGTTGATAGTGTGCACTGACCCATTATACAAATGATACAGATCCTATACAGTGGTGGTGGGAGTTGAAGTTGAGAAAGTTTTTGGCATTAGAGTGCATTTAAAGATGATACACTACCAATGACTTCATCCATATACTGGTAGAAGGCAGTTCTGTGTCTGTTTCTCCCATCTGGTAAATAAGGCAGTGACTGTTCTCTGATTTAGGCTGTCTTTTTGAAACTGTTTGAATAGCAAACAGATTTGAAAACAGAGATAATGTCTCAGTGTGATATAAGGAACAAGTTTACAGAGGACTTGGGAGATAAGAGTGCTTTCCTCTGGAGCAAGAGGTGGGGAATCCTTACTCCACTAATAAAAAATGGGCTCTTTCAATCATTGGTAAATGAAATAAAGTCTAATCAGTTAGTAAACACAGCAAACCATAAATAAACAAATCAAACAAAGATTGAAAGAAGGCACATTTATTGCTTAGGTAAAAGGCAGAATAAAAAAAATTTAAAAAGGAAAAATCTAATTAATGCATAAGTCCAAATTGATGTTGAAGTTTCACAGTAGATCACTGCCCAAAAGATTTAAAATGGTTCTTCTACAGTCCTACTTTAAGTGAAACCATTTCATAAGCTCACAGGATAATTTAGAATTGAGCAGGAGTGCTTCTCTGGTTTTCAAAACTTTCAGTATAGAGCTGATTCAAGATGTCCTAGAGAGGCACCCAGTGCAATGTGTGCTCTCTGACAAAGCCGCAGACACGTAGCTGAGTTTTGAAGTAAGTGTGGGACAACACTGGAAGTCAGAAAGCTCAAAGTGGAACATTTTGAGATTCATAAATGTGAGATAACAGCACATTTCACCCAGGTTGTACAGTCCACTAAGAAGTCTCTCCCCTGCAGGGGCAAAGATGAAAGAGTCCAACAAATTGTCCTCAAGAATGCTGGCAATATTAGCCACTGGGAAGTTTCACAACCCATACAACCTTGTGGTCGACTTGGATAAGTGACCTTAAATCAGTACAGAAACCTTTGCAAAGTATGTCATTCATCTTCCAGTGCACCTGCGGGAACACTAGCAGGGAGCCCCTTGGATAAGGGAGCTTGGGTCTGAATTTGAATTGTTTTAAGGGTCCGAGTTCCTTGCATATTTCCATTTATGGAATACCACAGACATCCATAGTGTTCCCACTGGGTAGATGCCTCACATGTCAAATCTGACTCAGTAGCGTGATTCTGACTCAAACCTGCTGAATGTCCTTCACTGAAGGAGACAAGTGTATTGACACGGGGAAAAGTAGTTGCATACCTCAAGAACTAGA